AAGCTACTTGGACATGGAGATGGAGAAACAGGAAAGACAAATCCAAACTGAGCTGTATTTCAGAATAAATGAAAATGAAGCCTGCCACACAGAGGAAGGGGGGACACATGACCACGATGAAGCCACTGTCAACACAACAGTAAGAAAAGGGCTTGGCAATACAAATTTCAATCAGTCTGTGAATTAATCAAGACTTTACGATAGTTCTATTTAGTCTGAACTCTATGCTAGGTGAAATAAAAGATCTTCATGGCTAAAACATACCCCAGACCAAACTTCTATGAAAGATTTTCCCTGACCTAAAGTCTGACTCAAGTGCATCACCCCAAGATTTACTGCTGAATTACTTAGCCCTGGACACAAAATATAACACTAGAACAACAGAATTAGGCTGTCACCATGACCCTAGCCACACCACCCCCACAAGGAACAACTACCCTAGAAGAAATTCCGAAGTTTTATAGCATCAAAGGGAACACAGTTTACCATCACTGAGGAACCTACTGCTTTCTCAGTCCCGTTTACTAAAAAGAGAACAAAAGGACTTTTAAAAATCAAAAGCAATGGAGAAAGAACAGGAATAGGGACAAGGATCTAATAAAAAAATGGGGATTTAAAAAATGTCCTTATGTGGACAGCTGGCTATTAAAAAGGCATTTAAAAAGAAAGATTCCCAACCATACACCTATTTATTTACATTGACAGTAGTCTAGTGAGCGCCAAGACTCCTGGAGCCCAGTGTTCTGAATGCCTCTGGCTCCATCTGGGACTATCCACTATCTTTATCCACCTCTATGATAAACTGGTAAGGCCATCAATCCTTATATATTCTACCTGCCTCTTATACACCTTGTTTCTTGGGAAGATGACAAGCTAATGTTCAGCACAAATCTTAGTGAGTTTTCCTTTTTTCTAAATAGCAAATCAAAAAATTTAAAAGAACAGTCATGTCTTTGCCACAAATACATACAGTCTAAAAGAAATGAACAACTCTAGGATTTAACATAATCTTTCTCTCATCTTCCTTCCTTCTTCTCTACAAAAGAAGGCTAGTAAAACCCACTTACTCTAACCCAGGCCCAAATTTGAGGTTGCCAGCTAGGAACACTAAAAGGTTCTTAGCAGGAAATATACTCAGACCCACAATATCTAGGACCTCCACCGGAAAAATGACTATCCCATTTTGATAAATGTGAAGGGATCCTCCAAGTAGCGATCAAGACAGGCAGCAGTAAGGTTTATTTTAATATACTTCTACAGAGCACCTTTGTGCAATATCACTGGTGCTAGAGTTATACAATTTTTGGATTTGGGAATGATTAAGGGAACATTTGACTTTTTAGCATAATTCAAAATCAAGCTCTGGCTCTACTGCAAAAGAACAGAAAATTCCATGTATCTATCTGTACATCTGCCTCTCCGAGCAGGGAAATAATTCTCCTTAATCAGCAATACATACTAAAAGCAAACTTTCATGTAGAGTAATGCATGTAACTACAGCACCTAAGCCATGCCGCTTGACTCACTTTGCTTAAAACCATTCACAGAGAGATGAATTAGATCTTATTTCTCCTTTGCCTTGTCATAAAGAACAACTAAAGCAGTGAAAATTTAGATGATATGGATAGTACTTTCCAGTGGTTGTCCTGCCACTTTAATTAAGTCAAAGGCATATGAATGGAAAATAAAGCTGTCCTAATATGAAACCAAACAGTTTAATTCAGAAAGAACACAGATCTCTGTTTAGTCCTTTGAGCTAAAGAAAGATCAAGATAAAAAAATGACAAAATTCCATCAGTGCAAACCGTGTAATCCACTACCTTTAAGACAAACACCTTATCTTCTTTGGTTCCAGAGACTGAACCTTTTGAACCCAAGGAGAAGGCAAGTACAGTGAGCAAGATGCCTAGTGACTTAGAAGAAACTCTCTGGGTATGTGATGCTGTATTACCACCTACTTCTCTGGTGCATTACTGCCCACTTCTCCAGATGCGTCAAAAAATAATTACTCTTGACTGCACTGGTGCTTCTCTGAGCAATTTCCCTTGCCCACAAATCTGGTAGAACAGTGCTACGATAATATAATTTAAGCATTTTCCATTTGTTAATATATAAGAAGTAGGCAAGCAGACTAAAGAGCTGAAAGGAACCAAGCGTCTACGGGGAAGGAGATGCTTTTTCTTCTAAATTTTCACATACAACTCATTCTTAATTGTGGTTGCTCTAATCCAATTGACTCTAATGCTTTTCTCTACATGGAACTTAAGTGGTTACTTCAAGGGAGAATTTAATCCAGTTCCTTCTGCCTGGCAAAGGTTGGGGGTTTGTTTTTTGTTTTGTTTTGAAATCAGAGAGTGGCTGACTTCATCCAATAAGGGCATTTACAGTATCCCAAGGACTGCTTTTCCTTTAAAAAAAAAAAAAAAACTGGCTCAGCAGTTTAGCGCCACCTTCGGCCCAGGGCATGATCCTAGAGACCTGGGCATGATCCTAGAGACCTGGGATCGAGTCCCACCGTCAGGCTCCCTGCATGGAGTCTGCTTCTCCCTCTGCCTGTGTCTCTGCGCGTCTCTCTCTGTCTCTGTCTCTCGCTCATAAATAAATAAAAATCTTCAAGGGGGTGGGGCGCGGACTACTATCAGATTCCCTCTCCTTCAATGTTTTAGGAGAAAGATGTTCCTGAGGAGCAGGAACTCTGTAGCCCACGACTGCAGGCCCTATGAGTATCTGATTAAAACTTATTCACAGAAAAATGCACAAGCAACAAAATTCTACAAACGAGTCCATGGACTTAGGTTAAGAACATGTGGACAGACAAGACTATGGAAAAGATGAAGGTCAGTGGGGGGGGTGGCGGACTTAGGTTAAGAACATGTATCCTATGGACAGACAAGACTATGGAAAAGATGAAGGTCAGTAGGGGGAGTGGCATCCCTTAGGTCTAAAAGAGGATCTCTCCCTTCCTTAACCAGCAAGGAGGAAAATGTGGAAGTACTAGTACAGGCTCATTCTAAAGAATGTGGGGTTCCACTCACATGCAGTTTTGGCTTGGGAGCTTATCTCTGGCTTGGGGGTGCACTACAGTCTAAGACTGTCCAATCTTTCCTTCTTCTCTCCTTTCAGAGGCGTCAGACCTGCCCTGTGGTCTGAAGACTCCACTGGCCCTCACGGTATTTCTGTTGTTTTCTCTCTCCTTTTATACTTCCCAAATAAAACTCTAATACTTTTAATCCATCGTGGGGTCTGCTTCTAAGAGGACTCAGACTACACACCTGCAGTTGGCACTCTTTTCACAGCACCTTTACACATGGCACTGAGGAAGGGACCGGAAGGGACCTCAGGTTCTTCCAACCCTCACTTCAGTACCATGCTTCCACAGAAGCTAAGATGACTTCTTGCGCCCAGGGGGATAAAATCCCTGGAAGCCAATGACGTTCCGGTTTCACAGATACCATGAGTAGTCTTAAAAATTTTGCCTCCAGGTTAAACACCAATGGTATGACGGAAATTGGCATGGACGGCCAAATTAACATAAAGTAAGATATGTAAAAAAAAAAACCTTACATTTGTCAGGCTTGAATATATGACATGACTGATGTTAGAGAAATCCTTCACATACATTAAACATGGAACCAGGGGGCACCTGGATGGCTGAGTCAGTTAAGCCCCTGCCTTGGGCTCAGGTCATGATCCCAAGGTCCTGCGATCGAGCCCCACATTGAAGGAGCCTGCTTCTCCTTCTCCCTCTGCCCCCACTTGTGCCTGTTCTCCCTCTCTAGCGCGTGCTCGCTCTCTCAAATAAATGAATAAAATCTTTTTTAACATGAAACTGTAGGTTCATAACCAAGTTCTGAAAAGTGAGGACACTATTCGACAGGGAGAAGACACAGGTCAAGTAAAAACAACCACGGCAAAGATCCTATTCCAAAGTATGAGTGACCTTCTGTATTCACCAGAGATTCCAATAACAGTATTAGACTCAAAGTCAGTTTTTAAGAATGCCGGTAGGAACTCTTAAGTATGCACATGCTCTGTTATATGGGTGTCACAATGCCCCAAAATCACACTAAGCATCAGCTGAGGCTTTCAGCTGAAGGAGTAGGTGAGATTCAGAGGTAAATATAAGGGACTATACCAGAATCCAACCACGCTCTACTGCTTGTCCTAAATCATTTCTGTTCCTCTGTTAATGTTTATTTAGGGCATAGAGTATCACTCTAACCTTTTCTCCTAGCTAGTAAGACATCTATAGATAAAATCACCATTATTTTTCAATCAGCAATGTGATTAAAACATTGTTATAAAAGGAGACAGAAAATAACTCTTTTTAATTCAAGTTCCCCTTTAATTCTCAAGGAGCAGAGTGACCAAATACTTTGTATTGCAAGGTTCCCCCCCACCCCCCGCTTTATGCTGGGTTTATGGTATTAAGCTCTTAATGACAAAGAAGCCAAGTCCACCTGGCTAGTTTTCCAACACATCTAAAGCAAATCCTAGTCACATTTCTATTTTAACCAAGTATGACAAGGTGATTGAGTAGCTTTCCAAACTACAGAGCAGCAGGCACTACCTTGCACAGGCTGGCGTTAAATCTGCACTTCATAAATCGTGCAGGCTCCTGCCTGTTTGGATGATCTCTCTCTGCAGAATCGGCAGTCAAATACTGGCTCTTCCAAGCATTAAAAATCATCACTCTGCTATCCCAACTCACTGTTCAATGGGTCTTCCTGAATGCAGCCTTTATTATAACCTCAATGCTGCTTCCTACACTGAAGGAATACCATGTTTTTAAGTCAGGAGTTCTTTCTCGCTTTATTATAATCAAGGGGTCTTACAGCGACCCTGATACTGTTACAAAGCACGGTGCTTTATAACAGTAAAGCTTCTGGAAAACCCAAACAAAAGACACGTCACCCGGTGACGTCAGCCTATATACAGTTCTGTGTGGTCGCAGCACATAAGCAATTCCATTCTTGTGCCGTTTCTCGGAAAAGCTTTTCAGTAAATGCACTCATGCTGCTCCAGGAGCTCTTCTCTGCAACAAGCCGCCCATCTGCCATCAACAAGTTAAGACCCAGAGAACTAACGGCTGCGGAAAGGAGAGATCGAAGCTTTGATTAACCAGCTGAGCAGTTAGAAGGAGGACGCAATTAATAACTTACATTCAAAACTGATTGAGGGAAGCAGAGAGAACACAGAAAATGAAACCAATGCTTTCGAGAGGAATATCCTAAGGAAAAAATAACTCACCCTGGTGGATTCAATTTTACTCAGAAAGCCTGGGACACAGAAACACGAAACTGGTCAAAGGCTCCTGCATGTTAGAGCCTTTTACAGACTCACTGCGTTGAGTCTACCAACCGCGACTGAATGCAGCCTCCAATGTGCTCAGAAGAATGGGTAAGTCCATGCATTTGTGTGTCTTGTACAGTCAGCAAGGAATTAGACTTTTTAAAATAAGCCACTGAATTCATGTTTGATGAAGGAAATCACTGTCAAATTTTGGATTTTGAGGTTTAGGTAAAAGCATAGATTGCTAATGACAGTCCAGGCTTTATCTGTTTTCTTAATGGTTTAAGTTCTGTTCTAGTCATACTAACAAGGTTAGTTTTCCTGCAGCAAAGGAAATATAAGTTGTATGCAGTGAAAGCTTTCGCCATAATGTCGTTGTTTTTTTAATAGCTCATGCATTCTGCTGAAAAATATCCTATCTTCTTGTTTTCCTTAAATTATATTCTGCAGGCTTACATTTCAAGTGGCCATTAGGGGCCCCTATGCTGGCAGCAATATATGCAATGAGTATGGTTTTAAAAATGCTGCCTGCCCTGGGTATGGCGTGTCCACCCAAATGCCGCTGTGAGAAGCTGCTCTTCTACTGCGACTCTCAGGGCTTCCGCTCAGTGCCGAACGCCACAGACAAGGGCTCTCTGGGCCTGTCCCTGAGGCACAATCACATCACAGAGCTCGAAAGGGATCAATTTGCCAGCTTCAGTCAACTTACCTGGCTCCACTTAGACCACAATCAAATTTCGACAGTAAAAGAAGATGCTTTTCAAGGACTATATAAACTTAAGGAATTAATCTTAAGTTCCAACAAAATATTTTACTTGCCAAACACAACTTTTACTCAACTGATTAACCTGCAAAATTTGGACCTGTCTTTTAATCAGCTGTCATCTCTGCACCCAGAGCTCTTCTACGGCCTTCGGAAGCTGCAGACCTTGCATTTACGGTCCAACTCCCTGCGGACTATCCCAGTACGTCTGTTCTGGGACTGTCGTAGTCTGGAGTTTCTGGATTTGAGCACAAACCGTTTGCGAAGTTTGGCTCGGAATGGATTTGCAGGATTAATCAAACTGAGAGAGCTTCACCTAGAGCACAACCAGCTGACGAAGATTAATTTTGCTCATTTCCTACGGCTAAGCAGTCTGCACACGCTCTTCTTACAATGGAACAAAATTAGCAACTTGACATGTGGAATGGAGTGGACCTGGGGCACTTTAGAAAAGCTAGATCTGACTGGAAATGAAATCAAAGCCATCGACCTGACAGTGTTTGAAACAATGCCTAATCTTAAAATTCTCCTCATGGATAACAACAAGTTAAATAGCCTTGATTCCAAGATCTTAAACTCCCTGAGATCCCTCACAACCGTTGGCCTCTCTGGCAATCTGTGGGAATGCAGCCCTCGAATATGTGCACTGGCCTCCTGGCTGGGCAGTTTCCAAGGTCGGTGGGAACATTCCATCCTATGTCACAGCCCCGACCACACCCAAGGAGAGGATATACTAGATGCAGTCCACGGATTTCAGCTCTGCTGGAATTTATCAACCACTGTCACTGCCATGGCTACAACTTATAGAGATCCAACCACAGAATATACAAAAAGAATAAGCTCATCAAGTTACCATGTGGGAGACAAAGAAATCCCAACTACTGCAGGCATAGCAGTTACTACTGAGGAACACTTTCCCGAACCAGACAATGCCATTTTCACTCAGCGGGTAATTACAGGAACAATGGCTTTATTGTTTTCTTTCTTTTTTATTATTTTTATAGTGTTCATCTCCAGGAAGTGCTGCCCTCCCACTTTAAGAAGAATTAGGCAGTGCTCAATGATTCAGAACCACAGGCAGCTCCGATCCCAAACACGACTCCATATGTCAAACATGTCAGACCAAGGACCGTATAATGAATATGAACCCACCCATGAAGGACCCTTCATCATCATTAATGGTTATGGACAATGCAAATGCCAGCAGCTGCCATACAAAGAATGTGAAGTATAATATCCGACCCATCATCAAAAATTACATCAGATAAGTAACCTATTTTACATAGTAGGGGCTAAATACATACCTAATTTTTACCAATGGTGACATTAAGCCTAATTTTCCAAACCAAGTGGAGACTTAAGTTTTTGAAGTGTTGAAGTATTTTTAATTTTTTTTAATGAAACCATATTTTAAGTGTTATATGAAGCAAAACTCATATTAATTCACACTCATTGCAAAGTCTAAAAATGCTTACTTCAAAATAAGACATTTCATGTATGTAATTATATACTATCATGTGTAAACATTTACACTAAGATCTCCATATGTTATTTTTTTCTACTGAAAACAGTTTGGAAAGAAGCTACCGAGCAGAAAAAGATATGGATCAATACTTGTTAGATCACTGCTCTCCATCCCAAGTACCACAACTGGCTTGCTGCTTAAAAGGAGGCTTAGCAAAGTTCTCTTATATGATAATTTGGTATTTACTCAAATCTACAATTTACTGCCAGTGTGGGAAGTAGAATTTCATGTATGCTGAAGACTGTTAAATATTAAACACTCTTCTTCTAGAGTTTTTGCCTGGGTTGGTAGATACTATCGAAATTCACATTATGAAATCAGAACCCTTTATGTAATTCTAATAAGCTGAGTGACTCTTTAATATATTTAAGAATGAATCCAAGTGATTGTGAAAAGGTCTCATTACAATGAAATCAATAGTAAATAATTACACTGACTTCATGTGCTACATCTCTAGTTTGACTTAGAATGGAAATGTTGATTTTTGTGGCATTTAGACAATTTTTTAAACTAGTATATATCACCATTTTACTAATTAGTTTACTAAATCCTATATTTACATTTACATGTGAAAAAAAGATTTAGAAACTATTTTGGAGAGAAAAGAGATAAACTGAGTCAATTTAACAATCCTGTGACCTGCTCCCTCTAGTTTGAAAGCACACACAAAAATTCTCCCTCACTCCTCGATCAAAGATGCCTTGACAAAGGGGTTTAAACCTCTTTCTTCTGCCTTTTCCTGATCTTCAAACCTCAAAAAGCCCAATTAAAAATAATTGGCTAGCAACAGGCATAACACTGATTCTTAATAGAACCAAGAAAAAAATTACTTTCTAAATATTACATGCTAAAATTTACTGTTTAGTAAAGATACATATCAACACTGTTAAGAGCAGTTCCTTCTAAGTGAAGCAAACAACGTATTAGTGAAGCAAGCCTTCCCGTGGGAGAACACTCTAAATGCCTATGCAGCCACACAGTGGTAACTCAAAGGTGGCATGGAAGTGAAGGGATGAAAGGGAAAGGCAGCAGTTTGAAATGTGACCCACAGAAGCAGTTCAGCTTAAGCTAAAAGGCAGCCAAGAGTGAAGCAAAGGTTAACTACACAATCTGCATCAAACAGGGCAAGGCCCAGGGACCTGCAGCTGGAAAGGGAAAGAGTGTTAAGAGAAACATTCCCTAATTAACAAATAATAATGATGCCACACTCTTCACACAGAAAAAAAGCTGCAAGTGTTTCATTTCTTTGATTGTGATTTCTACAAAGAAACTGATATATTTGAGACTTAGGATCCAAGTCACCAATTCATACAGAATTTTTCCACAAATGAGGTTCCATGTATGTAGTAGCAAAACCCATTAAATCAGACTGACTTGATATTAGAAAAATAAGCATTTCTACAACTACTGATTGTATGTGAAAAAAGGCATATATCTTTAGAGAAAACCACTACCATTAAAAAAAAAAAAGGTTATCTTTTACTTAAGATGACCGTTAACATGAAATCCTTCTATTCAAGGCATATTTTCTTCCCAGGATTGAACAGCAAACATGCTAGGACTACAGTTTAAACTATCAGATTTAATTTCAATTTTTTTCTTTAATATTAAGAGAGGGGTATCTACCTACAGTTCAAAGAAAAGGTCTCAGTAAAAAAGCAGATGAGATCATAAATTAAGGTAAAAATGTGCTTTCTCTATTGTTTTAAGGTGGGTAAATTAGTTTGGCAAAGTCTCAGCCCAGCTGTGTTCAGCTGATCTTGAGCGGTGAGCATTTCTTGTTAAACCAGACCCTGGGCCTGCCTGGGCAGCGACAGAAGCTGATTTTACGGCATAGAGCACAGCTCATGGCTTCCCTATGGAGGGGCTGGATCAGAAGCCCCATTACAAATGAGAGCTCCATGAGCTAAAATTTACCAACCCATTTATCAGGGTAATCATGGCCATTTGTCAGGGCACAGCTCCGTCACAATACAACTGTGTCCTGAACACATAGAATCCACTAGCCGTGAAGGATAGCACTGAAGTATTTTCCATCATTTCATCCACAACCAACATTAACTGAAACTGTAAAGAGAAGGATGAGAAATAATTGGCTAAGAATTCTTACATTAAAGATTACCTTTGCTAAAATCAACTGACAAAATTCTGAATGTATGTAGAGAAGTAAACTGAAAAGCAGGCCATTCAGTAAATTCTGGGAAACTGCATAGCAAAGCAACCAAGGAATACTTTCCAGCCAAAAACCATAATATTTTTTGCCCTCCATTTTTTTGGTAATGCTCTCAGAGAAAAGTAACTAACAGTGCCAGATGACATTTTCCTTTTTCATTTAAAGTGAAAACTTCCCTTTTCAGTTGCTTGTAGAAGGCAGGATTCCATTTAATTTTGGCCTATTTGTGCTTCGGTATCGGCACAGGTTTGAAGATGAGACTGTTAGTCATATGTCCTCTTTTTACCAACTGGCTGGGGTGTAAGAGCATCACAGCTACACTGCAGATCCTGGCAACGCAATGTCAGGGCTCTTGTTTTATCAGTATAGTCTTATCCTCTTCGGCGCCTACCCCCTAACCCCAGTCTTTTTTCACTTTCATGGTTAGAGGGAAAAGACCATTTAATTAAGAACCAGAGAAAGAATTAAATCTCTCTGCAAAAAAGAAAAGCTAAGAAGGCCATGATACTGTACCCACCTAGTAACCAAAAGCTTGTGGAATCGTTTATATTCATTTCTGTAGCTTGCCAGGGATTTCAATCACTTTTCTGAAATGAGAGTGGGCTGATAAATTCTGCAAATCCACACACAACTCAGAGAATACCCACTGCCAACATCAAAAAGCAAAGATACTAATTTTTTAAGCCAAAAATCTGCACTAACACATGTAATTTCTTAATGTGCCTAAGTTAATTTCTATACCAATTCAATGAATGGAATTGATTGAACTTTCCGACTCCACTAATTATTAAAATCCATCTGCTTATTCTAATGCTAGTCACCAAGAGCTAGACTTTATCTTTCCAATAAAAATGAGCCCTCTGTATCGCTAAGTCCAAATCCTAAAATTCAAAACAGGCATATCATTTTCTTAAGGCATACTTCCTACACATGCTATCAGGGCAAAACGCTATAAATGCCTGGTTCTCTCCCTAAAATGTGGATATATATCTATATGAAATTTTAAAAGAATGTTTTTAGAAGCTGACTTATGTGATCATTTTCCTAATAGAGCAATACAGTGACAGACCTATCTCAAAAGTCTGTTTTGAGACATGATCTTCATATTTTATTGGCTAAAGTGCTTCAACCAGAAAAAGATGAAGATAAGGATAATAAGGTCATCTATAGATAATTAAATATTTCTGTTCTTAACTTAGGGCAAACTCATAGTACTTGAATAAGGCCAAAAACAAATAGAAAAGGACTGTTTAAGCTTTCATACAGCTATTACAAACATTTGGAAACATCAGCTACTCCTTCAACTAACCTATTCTTCTTCCTTGGTAATCTTTAAAAAAAAAAAAAGTCTGATATATGGAATGTTTGGCAAAACTTCCTGTCAACACCAAGACTGGACACTAAAAGTGTCCAAACACATTATGTTCAATCACCTTAAGAGCCATTTTGTTTTGTTTTGTTTTGTTTTTGCTGGGAGGTGGGCAACTGGGTTGGGGGGGTGGGAAGAAAATACTATTATAATGGGGGTCGGGGGTGGTAACAAAGTGCAGTGTACAGGAAAGATTTGTTATTAAAATTGTGTATACTGTAAAAAGTGAATGTCTTTTTTTTTTTAAGCTTTTCCTTGGTAGGCTATCAATTTTGACATGTGAAACTTGAAAAACCATTTGTGACAGAGAAACCTTAAATGAACATTTGTTTTGTACAGTATTCTCTACAATGCCGAATGTGCCAGTTGAGTAAAGGGCAGCTCATCAACTGTCTTCATTGAGTGAAAGGTTAAACTGAGCTAAGATCAAAGTAAAGGTCATGGTGGGGGCAGGGGGGTGTGGAGGCCTAGCCAAAAACCTACCATGCCAATAACTAGCAGTTATGCAATAAGAAGTTGCTCTGTCACCAGCTTTAGCAAGTAGACAAACAGCTATCTGTGGGGATCACAGGGCTTAAGGCTGGCTTTCCATCTTCCCAGAAAGTGGACGGCCACCACAGGCTGGGGGATCTTCAAAAAGGCTGCCTGTACCCAGCAAACAGCAACTTGGCCATTACACTGGGGGTCCACTGGTGGGAGCAGATGTCAGGAGCACCTTACATATCACAACTCCAGGAGGGATGTCCACAAGTGCTGATCCCTCCAGGAGGGATGTCCATAAGTGCTAAGATCCCCACGTGACCTACTATACCCTACTCTGAGACACCAGCTCAGTAAATATGGATAGGGATAAGAAAGGTGAGATTTTTAACTAGTGTCCCTCCCTCAGAATAAACACCCCCAGGAAAGCATGCTATGCCTGGGCAGCATAGGGGGATAGCCACACTTGCCAGGATGCACTTACTACTCCTCTAGGCCCAGAGTAGTGCAGCAGGACCATACAGGCAGGAAGAAACAAGGCAACGACTTTCACCCAGGGATGAGGGGATCAGAGAGGCTAAGAGAGCTATCACACCAGGAATCTAAGCAGTAACAAGGGCAGAGGCAGGAACCACAGCACAAAATTTTACTGTCAAATTCATCAGCTATGCACTAGAGGGCACAGGTGATGGTGGTTTCAAATTGCACAAAGAACAAAATTCCTATATTTTATGGAGTTAAAAGGGCTTATTAACCTAATTCTCGAACACATAAATCTTGAAAATCCCATGTAAAGCTACATCTCATTTCTTTATCAGTTATTTTAATTAGTTTTGCCTGTATGCCACAGCATTCTCAGATTCCCACTCAAATTTATAATAGATTTCTTCAAGGTCTGTTTCAAGTGATTTTTTTTCCGTTCTTTAAATATATCTAACCAGCTGGGTACTCAAATCTCCCTTAGACAAAATGTACTACAAATTGTCTTTCACAAAAAGAGAAAGGAAAGAGAGGTGAAAAATCATAGCTATTTCAAACATTTCTCCTTAGCTTGAGTTCCTCCTCACTAGCCAAAGTTTTTGGAACACTCTTTAGGGACACAGGTTAAGCCTCCCTTCCTCTATCCAAAGGGGAGATTAAAGAGGAAGGAATTTCCAAAGCCAAGTA